TTACTTCCTGGGTTATAATTATAAAGAAAATATCCTGAAGCTTCCTGCTTATAGATGTTTGAATTTACCTCTGTTAACCTTTGCAGGATTTTGAGATGAGAATTTTAGCTGTGCTGCTTTGCCAGAAGAAAGAGCTAATCAAGTGAAGAATGATTGCAGAAGTTCCTTCTTGACCATTGCATAAAAAAACCAAGGATGACACGTTATTTTTCTCTCTTTAAAATATTGCTTCCTCATGCTGTTTGAGATTAACAGCATAAAAATAGCTATCCTCATACAGCTAGCAGCAAATGATTTTCTTAGCTGGTATTCTGCTGAAAGAAAATCTAAAGTATCCTTATAGTAAAATCTTCAGATATGAATTTAAATAAAGGTAAACATAGGATTTCTGGCCTGACTATACAGGAGTAACTGCTGAGATGGTAGGTAACAATTTTCAAAAGCGCTTAATAAATTTAAACTCCCAAGTATCATTTCAAAAAGTGATGTAGGCCTTTTATTGCAAAGGGGTTAGGGCACTGCAGTCTCTGGCCCCTACACTGAATTCAAAACTTCCTGTTAGGTGCTGAAACCTCTTATATACACCTTTGAAAATGGTGGGGAGTGGGCGGGAGGTGAGGGGGAGACACCTGTACTTTGGTGTCTGCCTCAAAGACAGGTATGCATTTTATTCATGTAAAATGTTTCAGGCAAAATATATTAACAGTGTCTGAACCCAGGTCCCTCCTTTTCCAGTTGACTACACCAACCCTTTAAAGTACAGTCAAATTCTTAATCTCGCCCTCATTGCAGTCCAAGAAATCTGAAGTCCTTTCCTTTCCATAAAGCTAACAGATGTCTACTGCAATAAAGTGGCAGAACCTGTTACTATTACTATTACCACCTTTTGTCAGGGCCACAAATTTGGGCATTTGTGGTGCAACAAATGGTATAGACATCCGCTTGCTTTCCCTTTGTGCCACCATGAAGATTGTTACGGTGACACAGAGAGAGAGGTTTTAGTAGGACTTTTGAAAGTGTCTAAGGAAGTTAGGTGCCTAACCTTCTCTGCTTTCATTGGGGTTAGGTACTTAACCTACTTAAGTATGTAGTCAGATTTTCAAAGATGCCTGAACAGGTTAGATGCCTCACTCGAAATGAAATTAGTGAGCTAAGCTTTAACCTGCTTAGTTCTCCTTCTCCTTGTCCCATTAGAAACCTGTATGCTCCTTCAGGTGTCTATATACCTTTGTAAAGATGTAACTTTCAGTGAGACTTAGGCTACCAAGTTCCCAAGCCACTTTTGAAAGTGAGGCTGAGGCTCCTAAATTGCTTTAAGTACTCGGGAAAATGTTACCCGTTATAAGAGGGGGTGGTCCCCAAAGGATAATCTTTCACTCTCAACAGGGAGCCTATGGGGTGAAAGAGGGGAAAGATACAGCTGACAAATTCTACAGACTGGGGCAGCGGTGCTCAAAGTTGTGGCCCCATGGGCCAGATCAGTGGCACTGGTCCATGGGCCAGGTCCCACAGGCAGGTTCAGTCCATGGGCTGGATCCAGCATAGGGGCAGCTTGCAGGGTTGATTTCTCAGACGAGATCCAGAGCAGTAGCAAACCCTGTACCCTGGATCTAGCCACACTGGGCTCCCTCTGGGTCCAAAAATTTGGCAGTGGGGAAGAGTGGCAGCTTTAACTGCTGCAGCTCTGAAAGCCGCCTACTGCCAAATTTCCAGACCATGGGTCAGATGGCTCAGTCCCACGGGCCATATTCAGCCCACAGGCCAGAAGCTGAGCACCACTGGACTAGGGAAACAATTTAAAGCCACCAGTTCTGTTGTTCACATGACTACTGGCATTTGTTACGAGCCCTTTTTGATCAAGTATGGTGGAGGACAAGGAGCTATCACCTGTTTCAATATTTTCAGACTGACTTATATTTTCACAGTGATCCCATCCTATAGCACCCTGCTTTATGATATGACATCAATTCGTTTTGCTGCAACACTGTAGTGGTTTGATGCAGCCATGCTGTTCTGCACGATGATGCAAATAAAGTAATGCCAAAGTGCACCATTTGAACTGTTCTCCTTTCAGCTTAAGGAGGGTGACAAATATGTTTGCAGTATGACAACAGATGGATTCAAGGTTGCCTCATTTCAGCTGGAAGGCACCTCTTACCTGCTGCATATGTTTCCTGGATTCACTTTGATTTTATCCCAGCCAGCTAAACTGGCAGAAGATAAACTGCCTACCAATATAGGTTTGTGGATGCATATTGCAAATTTGTGATCAAGAGTATTGAAAGAATTACTGGTTGTAGAGGGAAGAACACAAAGAGCTAACCATTGGAAAGTGGTTTTTTTCAGTAAATATTTGATATAGTATTTAGAAGTCATGAAAACATTAGGTTGTTTTTGTCTCTCAGGTACAGCAAATGGAGAAGGCAGCAATCAAGTCTAATTTTTAGAGAGACACACAACAGTAGCCACATTTGTAGGCACCAAAGTTATTGCAAGTATATCCAGAATCTCTCTGGCAATAAAAGTAATTTACTTCCTCCTTCATTATTTAAAGCTTCTCCAAGGGTGCAAGGCTCTTTAAAACTCTTTGAGAAGTAATTACCTCCCAGACCTACTTTAATCTCAAGATTTGACAGACTAAGACTGTTCCCAAGATGTCAGAGTGAATCCTGGGTGGGGGATTTGGGTTGGCATTTTCACTCACGGAATCGTTAATTAAAACCTTTTCACAAAGGTAACAAAGATCCAGAAATTTGCTTCCTTTCTGTGATCAGTTCTGTGGCTAATCTTGCCATTTGGAGCTTTCTCACTTGAAAAGTATTATAGGAACATCACAAACATAAAAGGTGAATTTTTGAACAGTATCTGGCTTCTCCCCGTGAATGTACTAATCTGCTGAAGTGGGCTGCGATAGATTGTCAATCACCCAAGCTTCCTTACCTCCTCATTCTGGCTGGAATGACAATTCAACGCTTTTTATATTCAGATGAAAATAAGTGCCCTGAAGTATCTCTTCCCTTACATTTTAACTACCTGGCCCAACTTTCTATGTTAAACAGACAGCATTACTCAAACTGCCAACTACACGGTTAGTCTAATTTAATTAGATTCTTTTTAATACCTGGTTCCCAGGCTAAATTAAGATAGTTTAATCATCTGTCCTTGCTGCCTCAGAGTGACCTTTTGAATGCACAGGCTTGTTTTACAATTTTCCTCTCCTTGCTTTGTAAATTAATTCCATAATGTGCTGCAATTTGCTGTGTGTCTAAGCCCATTGCACCTGGTCTTTACACTGAATGTTATGGAACTGTCTGCCAGGCTGAGCTGCTGCCACTTTGCAAGAGCGGCTCTACCCTGAGCTACATCACTGACTTCTAGCACTGACGCTTTATCATAAGATTGCTTGCTGCTCCCCCACAGACTACAGCAGACCATGTCCCAACCTCAGGATCAGCTCATGATGTAACTAAGCGGGCCTAGAAAATGTCAAGCGGTGGAGAGATGAAAGCAGGGGCTCTTATTTCTTGCCAGAAGCAACGGTGCATGATGTGCCACCTTAGAAAATGTGTTCATGCATCATCAGCAGTTATCTTGCAACGACTCTCTGACCAGGAATCAGGTGGCAATGCTTTTTGGAAACGAACAGGCAAAACGTACAGTGTAGTGTTTATAGAACAACTGAACTTTAGCTGATTCCTTCTATGAGTTAGACCTGCAAATTGAGACAAGAATTTTTATGTGCAGTAAAACATTGGGAAATGATGTTAAAAATGGGCATCTCTTTGTCCTACCTCACTATAAGCAAACAGTCCTAATGAAATCCATTGGTTAAATGAAGAACTCCATTTCCTGAGCCTTATGAACCCGCAGCAGTGTAAATCCAGAAAAACTCCACTCAGGTTACTGGAGGTATCGAGGTGTCAGACTAGTATCAGGGCAGAATCTAGGCCCAGACTGTAACACTGAGATCTGGATTCTACCACCTCGATGTTCCAGTGTATTTGCAGAAAAAAGGGAGATTGCAAGGTACCTACAAATGAACTTTTACAGCCAAATCCCCTCAAACCAAGGACATTTTATTTTTGGTTCTCACATGCTTCATCTTTGGCTTTGTACCAAAGGAACCAAGCTGTCCTGACAGTTTGTGGATGTAAGGTTTTGAAAGGGTATTGAGGGATGCAACTGCAAAATCTGAAGCTTGAGATTTGTGGTCTTATCCAATTAGGTTACAAAATTATATGTTAAATTTGGTAAATCTCTGCCTTTGTCCACAAAGGCTCAGGACTGCCAAAGCCATGAGTATTGTAGGGAATTGTTAAGGTGTACGGCGAGCACTACTGCAGGATGAGATTCAGGTACACTGAAGAAACGTGCACAACCCCTCCCTGGACTTTTCTGGATGCGAGCCATTTCTCTGCCCTAGTGCAGAGAAAAGTGAATCCTCCTTACGTTGCATTTCAGTACTTATTTTATTAAAATGCATGAGCTCCTGGTTCCTGTTGTAAATATGCATCATTACCATATGTGTTTCTAAGACTATATTATTCTTTATAATCAAGAGGGTGCTCAAAGAACCACCCAGATTCAAACCCTGGATCTAACCTAAGTGTGGAAGGGGGTTCAGAGCACAGACCTGTTCATAATAGGCTGAATCTAAAACACCCTGGTCCTGGGGAAAGTTTGTCCTCCAGTGTCATACATACTTCTCTGGCAGTATTTAAACTAATGAGAAATTTTCCTTGCCCATTACAGGTGGACAATATCTGGACTGTAAGTTTTTCAGGCTAGTTACAGCTAAGCTTCTATTTTCCCAAGGGAAGTATTACCAGTACGATGTCAAATGAGTAACTACAATAAACGTATTTTTCTTCTGCCCTAAATAATCTCATTTCAGCTTGAAATGTGCTGCAAAATTCATTTGAAATCCATTATCCCATTACACTAACAGGATTGACTCATAGCGCACATCAGCCAAGGTGGGGCAGAAATTAAAATGATACCTCAACAGCTGCCTTTGCTCTTTCAAATTCCTCCTCCATAGAGTGATTACGGGAGAGGAGTGGACCTCCCCAGCGCTGTTCTTTGGTTGATCGTGCCTATAAAGGATTAAAAAAGAACAGTGATAAGCTTTATCATAAATTCATGAGTTCCTTTTTCCTCTCTCACTTCACCAGCACCCAAAGTGACCTTCACCTTGTGCAAACCACTCATTTCCCTGCCAACTGTGGGCACAGTTTTGGCAGAGTTCAGTGCTTCAGAGGAGCAAAATAACTTATCAGTCCCTACAGTTGTCTTTTCACTTGCGTCTTAGACCTGTTGAACAGCTTTGTTTGTAGACACAGATGATAACCGTTGGTTGAAGTTGCAAAGTAAAAAGACAAAATTTGGAGTAATTTTAAAAGGGTATGTAGTGTTAAAATGTTGTGCCTGAGATGATCTATTTTTCTTTTCTCTTAATTTTGCTCCATTATGGGGGAGGTGAATATGTGTTGGAATTGTAATAAGGAGAACCATGAAGTCCATTCCTAGACTGATACCACTTCCTTTTTGAATGAACTGTAGTCAGCATGATTAACACCCCTCTGAAGTTGAGATTTATGATCAAGAATTGGATCCCATGTAGCTCAGCCTCTATTATCTGAACTTTTTTTATTATCAGCCCAAACTCCCTGTTATCTACATTAAGGTCCCATTTCCTGATGCCTGTTAATTATACTGGAAATCTTGATGATCTGAAAAGTTGATTTTTTTCTGAATTTATGCCACAATCCCTAAGGCAATCATATCATCAAGACTTTGCTGTAGCTGTTTCTGTAAATTGCAATCCACTTGAAGCAGCACTTAACTGAATTTATATTTTAGTGTTTGTTCCCAAATAGACAACCATTTGCAATAAAAAGCAGAATGTGCTATGCCGTATTCTTGCCCTTTCTGTCTACCATGCACTTCTGCTTAGGATTTAACAATGAAAAATCAGCACTTGAGAGATCCTAGCAATAAGTATATGGGGAGGGAACTTCTTGATGCTG